ACAAACAAAACACAACAGGTGATAACTGTGAACCTCCATTCTTCCACTGGACCATTTCCAAAACTCAGCCAATGCCACAATAAATAGCTCATGCAATCAGCTGGTTGATTGTTTCACAACCTCAGGGTGCTTTGCATGAAACAGCTGTCATACAAAATATCAAGGATGCTAACAAGGATACAACAAGGTGAAGTAGGCCTGAGAGCTACTCCAACATTGATAATGACATTGTGTGAGTTACAGATGGAGACAGTCGCAAAAAATGTACTGACACTTTTGCAATTACACTGCTCTTGATCGTAGGTCTTCTGAGACCTCTTTTATGCAAGGTATGGCTCACATCAGCTGATGCTGCTTGTGAATAGCACACTGACAATGTTTGAGTGTTTTTATTAGTCCAAGTTGTTCTAAACCACACCTCCTTTCTCATTTCACTTTTTCCACCATCACTATGAATGTTTAATGTGTGTGTTCAATAAAGACATGAAACATCATGACTGTGTGTTTTATTAGCTTAGAAACACTGTTTTTGTTGCTATTTGTGACTTTGGTGAATCAGATCACATTTCATGACCAATTTATGCACAAAACTGCAAACAGTGCCAGTACTTTTTCTTACAACTATACATCATAGTCAGAAAGAAAAAAAATGCCAATAAATTTAGGGGAAACCTCTACAAAAGCCAAGCCAACCTCTTTCTGTACATAGGGGCTTTCTTGTCATATTTTTATGAACTTAGTGAAACCACTGAGGTATTTAAGAAATGGGATTTTGCTTGAAGAACATAAACCTTCATTTCACATATGTAACATACGTATGTCAACAAACAACTCAAATGGTGATACAGTGGGCCGTTGTACTGGAAAGATGACATTCAAGAATTTGGATACTGTAACAGAGCTCTGTAGTACAACCTACATGGACAGTGAGAATAGCCAATGAAAAAAAAAAAAGTCTTGTATTCAATTGCCATTCAGAAATGAAAATGTAGCCTATTCAAGGACAGAAGTGAAAACATGTTATGCACCGTTGGTCTTATCAAATGCATCAAACTCATATCTTACTTTGAGGTTTCATAAATGCGAAAGATTGTTTAGTCAGTCATTTACAGGTTTTATTTACTTTGGAAACTGAAAATGAACTGGTCCTATAATGGGAGAGCTATTTTTAATAAACTCCATTCTGACCATGCAATATCAGTAAAGTCAAATTTTATTTGTATAGCCCAGTATCAAAAATCACAACTTTGCCTCAAAGGGCTTAACAATCTATGGCATATAACACCCTCTGTCCTTAGACCCTCAAATTAGATAAGGAAAAAACCCACCTCAGACCAAAAAAACAAAAAAAATCTTTAATAGGAAAAAATGGAGGAGGGATCCCTCCTTCAGGATGGACAGACATGATTAAAGAGCCCATGGCATCCTTTTCCTTGTTTTCTGACTTACCTGCAATATTACAACAGTGAATTCTCATCTTGTACATATGTTCTAGTTCTTCTATGCAAAAACAACTCAGTTTATACAAGTCTTGCAAACTCTCGCTTGCAAGACCTTTTTTTCTAACAAATGAAAGTACTGCGTGATAGTTCAAGGATTTCCTTGAACGGTCATAATCTCCAGGCAGTTGTACATTCATGTGAGCATACCTGATATCCACCACGAATTTTTTCAACTGCGCCTGGTTTTGTGGACACATTTTACCTCCTGCTGCTGCTCTGTGGCCAGAGGATGTGGAGAAAAATACAGGGCCTGAGGTTACTGCATGTCCGGGAAAGTTCATGTACAGGGCCCCGTAGGTTAGACCTAGTCAGGTAAAACAGCAAGCACTGGCCTGTGAAGCCCCCACAGCAGTGGACGATCAGCTCATTAATGCTGGATTCCCACTGGAGCACAGTACCCGTTTGTTTTGACCGGTTGAGGCCAGTGTGTCTGCCACATGTGAGGTGTTGCTGGTTAAGGAGCAGATTAAAAATCCATGATGTTATCGCTGGCACTACCTTACCTGCTGGAATTAATTTCACCACTTTAGGACTGTATGTAGTCGCGTGGGGTAAGACGCAGTGACCACCAGTTGGATTTAACAACCTTGGAGCTACTTGAAAAGGAGTGATGTTTCCACTACTCAATAGATTTATGGCAAGTTGCATGTCTGCTAATGCCTTGTTTCTGTAAGGTTAGAAAGAACTGTTGTAAGGCTGGAGATGTTACTACAGTATGTCTGCATTATGCCAGTTAAAATATGGGTTTCTCGATTACCTGCTTTGTTTAGAGTGTTACAAATCTATTTTCATTAGTACATATACCCTTGTTTACCTATCTAAAGAAGTGAAATTCAAATTAATTAATGCTGTTGCTATTTGCTGTGCTGTCTAGTTTCAATGCAACATCAGCAGCAGGAGTTGTGCACGTTCACCAACTATCCTATCGTTTTTAGGAAGAGGCTCTCAGGTTTTATCATTCTGAAATAATTACAGACTGGCGTTATGATGGGTGCAAAGCTAGAGGTACCCATGATTAAAGATTAAATGGCTAGAAATGAGCATGCCATTGGCTCTAAAGAATAAACCTATAAATGTAACTGTTGTCACTTATCAGTCTTCTGAGTCTACAGATAAACCTTTACATCTTTATAAGGTACCATAATCGCCAATATCTCACGCCACGAGGTGACAGTGGTGCGGTGGGTAGAGCAGTCGTCTCCCAACTGGAAGGGTGAGGGTTCGAATCTCGGTGCCTGCAGTCTATGTGTCGAAGTGTCCTTGGGCAAGACACTGAACTCCCCAAGTTGCCCGTGATGGCGGCACGTACGCACACAGTGGCCCTTGGCTCCAAATAAAATTTCGTTGTATGTGTTACAATGACAATAAAAATAAAGCTTCTTTTTACTTTAGCCCCTCAACAGACACACACACACACACACACTTTGATCAGCAAACACTAGATTTCCACGCTGCTAACTTGGTAATGGTTGTAGAAAGCTGGTTAGAGCTTGGAGACACAGGGGAGGACATGAAGACAGAGGGAGAAAGAATGAAGGAAAGAAATCACCATCTGCTATATGCATAATGTCACTTCAGCAGCCTCTGGCAAAATATGATGAGCAAATAGAAGATGCCATGTTTGTCAGTCAATACTTTTATCTAATAGACACATAAAACCATACAGATGCTCTTCAACTTAAAAACAACTGTAGCAAGCTACACTTTGGTCTTATTTTGTTGGTGAACAATACAGTAAGATGATATCTTCAGCAAGTAGAAAGGCAACCACCCCAGGCACTCCTAGAGGTCCAATACATGCACATAGCAAACTGCTTTGTAGATACAGTAGAATTCCAAGAGAGCAGTATAGTGACAAATGAGCCCTCTGTGAGTTGTACTTGAGTTGAGAGATCAGGTTTTTAAAAAGATTTTCCTTTCCCAAACAGATATTATGGACTGCTGTGGGTTGCTTACCTAAAAATCAATCCAAATTTTCATGCCTCTGAACTCTTACAAACCCTGGCCACCACAAAACACATACTGTTAGCATCTTTAAAATAAGTTAGTATTAAAGGTAATCAGAAAACCCTTATACAAATTCACTATCCTGCTTTCTAACAACTTTTTACACGCTTATGCAGTGGGTTCAGAGGCTCTTGAATCAGATAAATGCATCAAAACACACTCATATAAAAACCTGACATCTTTACTCAGTGTTATTCTCCTTTCGGCACACGTTGTTCATTACAGCTGCTATCAAAGCTTAATTCAAAAACTCACTTTGGAAAATCATTATGTAGAAAATGTGTGTGTGTTTATGTGTACCTGTGTGTATAGAGTGACTTTGGTTTGTTCTAGATTCCATTAAAATAGAAGCCCAATTTGTACTTCAGCTACTGCAAAAAAATAAATCAAGCTGAAGGGAATTATTAGCACCAAACTAGTCATAAGAGCATTTTTAATTCCATTATTTAAAGATAACAAGTAATACATACAAGAAATTAAAGTTTTACACATTAAAAACTATGCTACATTAAATTGGCAAAGAATACATGAGCCTGTGCAAAGAATGGTAAGAGAAAGAAAAGACTTTACAGGCATGAATGGTAAAAATATGGTACCCTTACAGTCCATCTCACCACCCAACATAACCCTGTAATGTAAACCTACAATCCTGAATAGGTGGTCATGTTGACAGGTTATCTATTTGTGATACAAACAGTAGTGTGTCAGACAACAGTGGATTACAAGTCATTATCCATGCTTGCCTCTATACTAGAGAGCATACAGTAGGTGGATAGCCTGGGCTTCACTAACCTGTAACATAATATGCAGAGGTAATTGGGAAAGAAAGTGATGAAAGGGCACATGAAGATGATGCAACACTCTTCAGCTGACTAACTGACTACTTCACAGCAGTGACTCCCTGTACTCCTCCATCTATCTCTAGCTCTATTCCCCCCATCTCTTTCTCTCTGCAGTGATTCAGGTGATGAATGTGTATGTCTCAGTTCCTATTAATAGTATGGAGCAGGGCTGGAGGTATCAAAGCTGGGGAGGGATGTGAGCTCTCATTCTCTCTCATACAGATACAGAACTGAACTCCACCAGATCCAGTCCAGCTGTAGCAGAGTTGGGGTGGTAATGGGGGTGGGAGGTAGAAAGTGGAGGAAAGGGGGTAGAGTTCGAAGACGAAGCCAGCAGCAGAGCTTCAAATAGCGTACTGATGGATTTACTACCCATGCGATAAAGCAAACAACTCAAAGAACTTCTCAGCGCAGTGGGGTGAAGCACTAGACTTGCACGATAGAGCTACACAGACAAAAATACTGACAGATAGGTGCCCAGACACACACACACACACCCAATTACACAGTGAGTCAACCTTTTTAACCCTGTCAAGTTTGTGCTACAGCAGGGTTCCATCAAGGCTGAATCTTGGTCCTTTTATTAAATGAAAATTAGGTTTGCCGGAGGAGAACATTCATTACACTCAGTCTGCGTGCATATTCCTACCTCGTGAGTTGGTAGCTAGGTCGGCCACTTTCTGAAAGGCATCCAGGAAAGCAGCCACAGCGACCACAGTCGCCCTTGGAGAAGAGAGGAAGACAGAGGTTTAGTTAAAAAAAAAAATCATACATTACTGATATGAAACATTATAAATTAACACACTGTATTTCACAAAAATAAAAACTGTACACAAAAAAGAAAAAAAATATCCCACAAACAGTAACAGCAGTAATTACATACAGGTGTTGGCAGGCAAAATGAAACTGATCAAAGGAAGAAAACACTTCTTTTGCTCTGAAAGTTAGGAGAACAACATCTTTTGCACATCTGTGTACATTTGTGCATGACAGTAACATTAACCCTGATCATTTGCAAATTAAAGTAAGTGTGATAGTGTATGCATGTTTATAGTGCAAGTGTGTGTATGTGTACAAGTTAAAACATAAATACGTCCCGCTGTGTGAGGAATGTCTATGTGATTACTTAGAGATCACTGGAATTTGTCCAGCTGAGTAGAGCTGCTCTTGAGCCGAGTTTGCCATACTCACAGGTCACTGCAAGGATCAGTGTGGGATCTACCCTGTAGATCTACCCTACACAAGCTCTAAAATGGAAAAAGGCCTGTGGCAAATCCACAACTCATACCTACTTTTCTGACATCTTGTACAGTTGAGTGCTGCTTACAGTGTACATAACAGAATAAACGAAGCGCAAAATCCAGTCTGCTCATAAAAAGAGAAATGGAAACTTAATGTATTACTTTCTGTTTTACTCAATACAGATACCATCTTACAGGTATCCCATCTGATTGTCTGTCTGCCTGCCTGGGTGTCCAGAGCCAGCTGGCAACAGGCTGTCTCAATTGTGGACCAGTTGACAGGTTAACCTACAAACTCTGACTAGCCTATTTCAGAAACAATAGATGTCTCATGATTAAGATCACAGGTATGGAGATTAAAGGCTCCTGGAGTGAGCACGTTCACTTATGTGATATCTGATCTCCTCAACAGAGACAAGACTCTACCAGTCATGCAAGCTACACAACTGTCCAGACATTTTCCATGGCACATTCAGCCACAAAAGCTTGTTTGTTCTAACCCTCAGTACCGTAATTTGTAAACACTTATGTTTCATGGGCCAACATAAAACCTTCATAACACAACCTGGCAATTTGCATAAACACCTGAGCAAATCAATATAGGATGTTGATGATTCTCAAGTTGACTGGCAGATGGAACTGAAGTGGTTTTAACCTTTATTATTTCAACGTAACAATTATACTGAGTCCAACAAAGTTAAACAAGTGCAAAGCTAAACAGATGAGAGAATGCATATTTTTTTGGGGTGAGATGAAGATGGGGCACCCTGAGACTCCAACCCTGGACCAGTGCTAAACACAGTGTCACTGTAGGTATACCATCTGTACTGTGTGCTCTCAAAATGACTAATGTTGGGCTAACATTTAAAATTCACAGGAGGTTTATTGCGCTTACAGTATTTTCCTAAAATTGAGTTTCACAGTATTTGAGAAAATGTTAAGACAACTGCCCCAAGACTGTTCAAGCTCACTTGTTTTATAGGGTTACAGTTAACACCTTAGACAGGCCTCATACAAGCATGACAGCAACGATAAACAGAACACAACCGATCAACTGATAGATATCCCTGATTCAAAACGTATTATGAGGCCTCAATATTCCTCTACGTTTAAGTGACATCCAAGTCTTAGCAGGTGGTCAATACAAGAGCAATCACTTCCTTTATCAGTGAAATGGAATATAATATTGGCTAAGTGCTGTGCTGTTGCAGAGCTGCCCAGAAGATCCAAGGGTGTGTCCTACAAATGGAAAAAGAAACATACGTGCAGGCGTACAGATTCCTTTCTATTTAAAGCCCATGTGGGCCCAGAGCAACCTTCCACTGATATCTGCCTCCACTAATTTATAATATGTATACATTAGTCTATGGATCATATTTTCCATGCACATTGGAGCAAAGTCTTGTTTAGTCAAGTTTAACTTATTTGTCCAAAATACATTTGTGTGGGATGTGGAATTAAATGAAGTTTGTTTTTAGTATCAGTGGGTCCAGTGCAGAGAATTACAGTGTGGTGAAGTTTACAATTACTAGTATTAATCTCCTGCTGTGCTTTTACAAGAGAAACTATGCTAACTATTAAGCTGGTTTTTCCATGCACTACACTTTCAACACCTCTCAGTACAACAAGAGAAAAAAGCATCTTAAATGTCAACATTAGAGGGAAAAATCATGGTTTTACATTCCATGGAGAATTGTAATACAGGTATCATTAAAAAAAATTAAGCATTTGACATCTTAAACATTTTCTGGCTCAGTCGACAGTGAAATTGAGTTCTCATGAAATAAATACTAAGTTGCAAAGGCAGAATGATCAGGTTTTAATTTCAGCTCTGACAGTCAGCCAAAAAGCCTGAAGACTCTAAAGAATAAAACATTGCTGCTACAAGCTTTCAGCTCTGCACAGCACTCCAACAATGACCTAATTGCTACCACTGGCCTTAGAATTTGCTAACGCCCCTGTCCCAGAGTCAAGACAAATGATTTTACAAATCTACTCTGTAAGGCCATGACCAAGCCAATCTAAATTCCCCATAGACTTTGGCATAGTACAGCAGAATGCTCTTTCTGACAACGATACATTCAGTGCCATTGCCTCCATCTATTTAAGCTAGTTCAACTGAAACTGAAATATAACTGTACTAAATCTGAATAATAGGAAAAGGTTGTTTACCTCCACTTGTTTCAGACACAACATACCAAGAATCATGACAAAATGTACTTTAAGAGATTTTTATATACAGTATGCATCTCTGTTGACCTGTACATCCTTGTATCCATCTACTGTAGCAATACACTTCTCCATCTACCAACTAAATATAGGGTTCCTTCCTGAGCCCAAATAAGTTTTATAACCACACAGTTCATAAGCTGAATTTGAAGTTTTGAGGTGGTCTGTTCTCTCACAAATTTAACCTTCATCCAGAGGCCTGTGCGTAAGCTGTGACACAGCTGCATTGACCATGGCCCACGAAACAGATCAAACACTGACAAGTTAAAAGAGAATGATGATCAGCAATCAGCTAACCATCCTGCCCTCTTTCTTCAAAGATCTCCCCTATGTGCGTGCATGTATGTGTATATTTGTGTGTGTGAGCGTAAGTGATGGATGCTTAAAACCAGAATGGGCAGAAAAAAAAAAAAAAACGCCATATTTGGACAAAAAAAAAAAAAAAATAGACAGAACAGTCCCAACACTGTAATTGGTTGATCTTCAAGTTGCTTTGAGAGAGGGTAGCTAAGGGGCTAAATTACAGAGTACACCGCCTTGGGATGTTATTACTTACACAGCCATATGCTGCTACCACTGCTGGCTGGTCACTTATCCAGGCTAAGGAGGGAAGGTGGGTGTGTTTGTGTTTTGCATGATGTATGTATGTGTGTGTGTGTGTGTCCCTCTATAGCCCAGTCCCCCAAGAGATTACAGAGACCCTTGGGGTATGCTGTATTAAAAAGGGCTAGATTGGCCAAATTTGTAGTGGCTGGAGACAGGCTTTAACACAGACAGAAAAAGCTTTCTTTGTAGGTCACCACAAGCAGCCCAGATAGCACATTTGTATTAGTGCCCCAGCAGCAAAGGCAACCTTACAGCCAACATCATGCTATAACCACTGAAGCCTGGAGCAGGGCGTGGGCCACTGCTCAGTTGGGCAACAGCTAGTCTCAAACGCAGAAACATGCTTGTCTTTCATTGAATGACACTCAGCTCATCATGTAAAGGATGACTTTATCTTTTCTGGGTGCATCCACTAATACTGTAAACTGAATAGGTAAAAATACAGAATTCACAAGCATCTCCATCATCAAGTTGCCACTAACCTAATATAACTGGTTAAAAAAAGCTCAGCGACATACTGGAGGATCAAGTCACTTTTTCTCCAGTATAATAATTGATAGATTTGTTCTTTTGTCATGGCTCCAGTGTTCAGACACACAGACATCCTTACTGCCAAACAGCCAGTTATTGGCAACAAGGCCACAAATATTCCATTGAGCTTTAGAATGGGAGGGTGACATACTTCACCCCTGAACGATGGAGACACTTGAATAACATATCATAATCATCAGTCACCCTTAATACTAAGAAAACAGAAGAAAGGGATACTGAGTGGCCCCTGGAAATGCAGATAGGTTCTTCAGCCTTTCGACAGCTGTCAGCATAAGTCTGTCTGAGGACACATGGACACCTAAATGACTAGAGAACTGCCATGCATTGTTAATCAAAGAATAATCTAGACTACAGGATGTCCATATTTGCACCACTTGCTGGACAATGAGCTTTTATTTCAGCTGTCCTGCGTTGTTTGTCTCATGCCATGTGGCTAGTTAAAACCAACTAGGAGTGGTACCTGGGACTGGCATCCACTGATAGCAGAATAACTGGAACCATTTGTGTGTACATTTTACAGTATTAGAAAAGATTAATTAAATCAGGCCTATGGAAGACTAAATGGGGGAAGGATGACAATTGCCCCTGGACAGTATTATTCAAAGATTAGGCTTTTATGGTAACTGCCATTGCTTGTTAGTCAAAGGACATGTGGCCTCTTAAAACATCTTACATCTAATTCAAGTACAAAATCAGCTGAAAGAATGAGACATTTTAGTGCATAAGGGGTCAGCAGGAGATATTGGAGATGTTATACAACAATCCTGGGGCATTTCCGTGGACAGAAAATTTGCTGTTTGTACTCTGAAAAAAATTTCACAGAATTTCCAGAAAAATCACCAAAAAGAAACAGCAAATTAAAATGCATGTCCATCCACCACCATTATGCTAATATTAGGTGCTGAGGACAATGATATAAATAGTCGGCACCAATTCTCCATTTGGATGACATTAAACCACAGTAGAAGAAGACAGCCAGGCAATCCTCAAACAAACAAAAACAAGATGGAGATAAGGCATTTCTGTTTGTTTCATGTATTAATTTGAAGAAGGTTACAGTCTCTTTATGGGCCCATCCATATCACCTCTTTTGATATGCTACAATTTTGTCAGTCCAGTTTAACAGAAGGTTCAGTGACGTTTAAGTCACATCCTTCATGTACCCTACCAGTCAAAAGCTTGGAGACACTTAATTTTTTCCAGCTTTCTGGCACTGCAAACTGAAAATGTGCAGAAAAACAACTAAATGACTAAGTGTATGACTAAATGTAGATTCCCTCTCTTCTTCTTTTTATCTACCGGCATTCCAATATTCTCTGATATCAATAAAACATGCAGAAACATAAAAACACACTGTACGTGCACACAAACATGCTCTTACCTGAGCTGTGACTGCAGCTTGCCAGCTTTGGTGATAAAGTCCTCCCAAATAGGGCAGCTGTTCTGTGTGGGTGGGGGGCGAACAAACATGAATAACACAATCATCAGAACAAATTTAATCATTCCCACAGTTACACAATAGTTCAACTAACAGGAGGCCAAACTGATGTCTTCACCTGTAGGACTAAACCGAAATAACAAGGCTTACGCTTTCCCATACATACAGTATAACCTGGTTATGTCAACTGAAAAAATATGTATTTCCATATTGTCGCCAGTAGACCTAAGGGCATCAGAATTTAAGCTCTAGGATAAAAATTATTTTAACCGGGTTGTATGCAGTTGAAAAGCATGAGATGTAATTTGAATACAGAGTATGATGTAGCAACAGCTGACTTTCATTTTGCTCCAGTTTTAACTTTTTTTATATGCATATATTATCTACTAATAGGAGAGTAGATATTATCATCATGTCCTGCATATATTAGGTTGCAAAATAGGTCAAGGGCCTCTTTTGGAAAAGATCCTCACACAACAAGAGCACTCATACAATAGTATAATGAGCCTGGGTCCCAATGGGACTCTAAATTTACCTACAGTAATTCAGGTCCTGGACTGAAAATAGTTGAGGAGCCTTTTATCAAAAACTGTGACAGAGAACAAGTGGCTTAATGCATTAAAAAGAAGTGGCTAACATATGAGCAAGCACGAGATAAAGTGATGACATGAGCAAATGTTTATCACTGATGTGCTACTACTGTCGGGGGTCTGAGGAATGTCATGTTATGCTGTCAAACATTACACCCAACAACCACCTCAACTCTCTCTTCCCACTGGACCCCCTTCACATCACTTTTATTTCATTCTGCCTCTGTCCTCTCTCCCCTCACCCTCTGTATGTTTCTCTTCCTGATCACTCAGCTCACCTTTCTCTCTGAAGAAGCCACCATTATCAGCTCTGCCTGCTTCAGTGCTGATATCAAACACTCCCAACATCAAGAAAGTACGAGCTTTCTCCGCATTCAGGTTATCATATCTTACTGCTCTTGTTGATAGATTAGACTTGTGTACAAAGTCAAAGTAGGCCTTCACTGGGTTAAGTATGCATCCTCATCTATTTCACAGTTAAAGAAGAGGAATTACTGGAACTTTAATGTATAAAGTAAGGACAAAACAAATGCACTAAGTATTTGCATGTTTTTAACGGTGTTGTCAGCAGCATTGTTACCAGACAGTTAAGACACCATGAACTACTCAGTCAAGTGGCACAAGGGAAGCTGAGAAGTGCTGGATGACTGAGATGTATTCATAATAAATTCCCTGACTCTAGCAGACCCCATGGCTGGCAATTTGACCTACACATGTCAAAATCTGCAGAGCCCGTGGGTATGTTTCTACCCTGACAGCTACATTCCTGGCATTCCTTCAGGCAAGTACAACAGCTGGCGATTCTCCTAAATGTCTCATCAGACAAGCTCTGGCTGAGTAAATACAAAACATAAAAATCAGATTCCCAAAGTCTGTTATTTAGTTTAGCCTTTATCCAATCTTGGCTGCTGCATCCACTTCAATCTAACAAATAAAGTTACAGTAAAGCTATTCCAATAGAACAGAATGAAGTACGAGGCAGTCAAATAATTATAATAACAGCTACTAACATACAAAACGAAAACCTACCGGGTTAATAAACATAACGGTATAGTAAGACCAGATACACTACACTAGAGATCATAAACAGGTGGAAATAATATTCCAGACTTATTCGGCTCAACTCCATTTTGTTTATCGCCGTGTGTATACCATAAGAAGGTTGGTGTGCATTTCAGTGGGGTTCATAAGTCTGACGCTGTTTGCCAACTAATCCCAATAGTTAACATAACTGTTTAGTTTTATCCGTAGAAGGATATCTATGCTAAGTGTACCACCAAAAACCTAACCGATGTTTGGAAAGGTAAATAGATGGGCTAGTTAGTTGCTTAGTGGCTCTCAAGTTAACGCAAGTTGTGGTGCAAAGTTGGCTTACTTTCATGTCTCCGATAACAGTCTGGAAGAGTCCCCCGAGCGCGCTGCATTCCTTCTCGATAACAGCCTCCATTTTCAGGACCAACTCCAGTGGTCAGTCCCGACTCGGCGAGCCGCTCTCAGTTCGCCAATTCCACTCTCCAGGAAAACCAAACAAAAAACTACCGGTAATATGGACAAAACACCAACAAACAGGCGTGTGGTAATTTCTACTGCCTTGAAATCACCGAACAACTTTCAGTCAAACCTGAAGGTACGCAGGTCGGTTTTGCTCTGATGCGCCGTTTACTTCAAAACTGAAGACGCTGCGGGGACGAAAAAGAGAGATTTAAATCCCCCTCGTCCCTCTACCCCGCCCCGCTCATACCCATGCCTGGGCCGTGGAGAATTTTCTGCAATTTACGATTTGAAACTACAAATAACCCACAATACTCGAGTAGTAAGGTTAACTCGTATGTTGACAGGTAAATACCGACACTCGAAGCGTCACTCTCTACCTTCTTAACACTGTGTGAGAGGGAGGATAAACAAAACGAGAAACAAGCGTCGTCTGTTTGAACTAATAAAACATGCACTTCCGGTTTATTTTTTCCTAGAATAAAAATATTTGATTATGAATTCTTTAAAGTAATCCCAAAGAGACCAGTCTCGCTAATACATAATTACACCTTTTTGCTCAAAATGAGCATTTGGCTGAAGTTATACTGCGTTAATCGAATAGGATATTTTAAAAGGCTATTAACATCTCACAATAGCCTATACACAAAAGACGGTGTTTACATCATTGAAACAATAAATAAATCAAACGTGAAAAGGATGTTCATAACACAAAGTACAACCCACTATTTTAGAACGTACTTTTATTGCGAAAGAAGCTTTGATGCGTCCGGTGTTATTCTGTTTCACTTGACGTCATGATGTCAGCGGGTGCAGGTGAGCAGTTCACGAACGAGCGCACCAGGAATAAAGCTAGGTAATTAGAAGCTTGATCTTTTTCAGTTTTTCAGGCATACTGTACAAAAGCAGCGCCAAAACAAGTGCTGCATATATAGCCTACATGAACTGAAATGAGCCTACTGTGTCAACTCTAAACAAAGTGTTTCCTGCCCTATGGGCAATGATGGAAGACATACTCAGATCCTTTACTTAAGTAAAAGTAACAATAAAACGGTGTAAAAATACTCTGTCACAAGTAAATGTTCTGTATTCAAAATGTTACTTACATAAAAGTATTAGAGTCAAAACATACTTAATGTTCTGAAAGTAAATGTACACATTAAGCAGAATGGCACATTTCACATCACATTTAATGTTGCAGGTGGTAAATAAGGAGCTAGTTTAACTAGCTTATACTAATTTGAATTACTGCTAGGTAGCTTGTGAATTTTCCACCATAGATCACTGAGGTTTTATAATTATGCTGTATTTTTTGTATTAATCTGGTTATGAAAAGTAACTACTCATTAAAGTTATACATTAAATGTGGTGGAGTAAAAAGTACAATAAAATGTAGTGAAGTCAAAATATGAAGTAAGAGAAAATGAAAATAGTCACATACAGATACCTCAAAATTGTACTTAAGTAGAATATTTGCGTAAATGTACTTATTTACTTTCCACCACTGCCTATGGGTTTTGCCTGACTTAAGTGCTGATGGTACACGGATATTGCGCCACCAGCATTTAATGTTGGATGCTAAAATTCTGCTGTTTATGTATAAACATTGGATAGAGTAAATAATAGACAGTTTTAGGGAGACACCAAGTGGCTGAAATAAAAATAACAATATAAAATCTCTGCAAGGAGTTGAATAATTTTGACCTTAATGACAATTACAGGAGCAAAAAATATTAATTTATTGCAGTACCCGCTCTACAGTGCATCAGGACATTTACACATTTTTTTTTTACAAATTGCTGCATGATACATATTTACATTTTTATTTAGAAGTCAAATTGAAAGTTTACAAGAGCAACTGAAGTACTGCAGCATACTATTATCTCTAACAATATTATGCTGCTGAAAAAGCCTGTAAACCTGGTTAAATAGTACAAGCAAGTACCCTAGTTGGTGGCGAATCACATTCCCTATTACACCCTGAAGATAAAATAATGTTTATGCAAAGTATCTCAGTGAATAGAAAATATGGCAATATTCATAGGAATATGCTAACTCCATTCTTGTTACAAAATTGATTCGATACACAAGCAACAAATGTTTTCTGTACTGAAGTGCAAGTTGGAAACAGGTGAAATAGATCCAGATGACTGCTATGGAAGCAGCTGCAAGAAGTGCTGCTGCCTGTGACACAATTACAGTCTAGTATATCACTGTACACTTGCAGTGTTTTGCTTTCTTAAAGCCTCTATGTGTAGGATTTGAAATGTTTTGACTTTGGCAGCTCATAGGGGTGACATCAAAAAGGCTCTTTGATGGACAACAACGCATCCCTGTAATGACACAAACACCTTTTTTCCCCCCTTCAGATGCTTTATTTCTGTAGTTTAAAATGTCAACAACAGCAGGTGCCAAAATCAACCAGTGTTCATTTAAACTATTTTAATACCAACACTTCTAATACAAAAAACATACAATAAATACAACAAATAAATCATGTTGTAAGAAAAACAGTTATTGATTTGGACAATTTAATGATGCATCAACAGTTACTGTATGATAATGGTCAGACATTACTTTAAACACATATACTTAAAAGACAAAAGTGTTTTTTTTTTGACAGAGTAAATTACAGTAACTCGGCAGAATGACAAATTAATTTAAATTAGCCCTTAGTCAAGTTATATTTATTAGTAAATCAGTGGAGCTAGCCACCTAAGACAGCACATGCAAACTTTAACACAATGATCATAATAAGAAATTTGAAATTCAAATATCGACATATAAATAATGGCACCATAAAAATGTCATGTTAAATCTAGGGTGAGTTTACAGCTGTTCAGCATCAAGGTTACTGGAGAACAGTAAAACAATTCAATCAAACATTAATGTTCTGTTATGCATAACACACGGTATTAGCAGCAAACACAAGCTTGTTTTGAAAACTGGAAATATGTCCTCCTGTGAGGATGTGACTTAGGAAAACCAAACTGTATGAAGAACAAAGTGGGAGGGAAAACAAAACCTGTCAGAAGCATTAGTTACATCGTACCAAACGGCCCTGCATAGCCTCAAAAAATGCACAACTTTACCAAAATTCCCAAATGAATGAATAAGCTGAACAGTGAAATTGTTGGTAAGCAGCCGAGGAATCAAATTCATATGGTACTGACTAGACAACTGCTATCCTTTAGAGCCCACCCTAAGTCTACTTGAAACCAGTCCTTTCAATGTCTCAATAGACAAATGTACAAATAGCTGTACAAATATTATTGTCCAGAGCCCTTGACAGATGTTTTGACTGATGCAAAAATATTGTCATCTACACTTTTCCACGGTATCCTTGATGTTTGCTAACAGAGAGTTTTCCATAAGGAAATTATCAGGTTTGCAGTGAACTGAGCTGAACAGCACTGTTCTCTATGGACAATGTTGAGGTGTTTTAATACATGCTGAAGTTATGAAGCCTCTGTAAAATTAGTTTATGTTGCTTTCCGCCACCTTCTGAAGCCCATCACCATACTGCAGCCGTAGAATAATGTCACGATAAATGCAAATATCTGGGACACAAAGAGTAAATAACAGTCAACCAGTTGGTCAGGAAACAAGGCTTTAAACTAAAATAAAGCAAACTGAGTGGCACATTTCTAAGGCTCTCGGCAGCAAATAGTTGATATTTTTTTTACTTAATAATTGGCTAAAATGATTTATTACAATTAGAATGGTAACTCTTCTGTCAGACTGACTTATTGTTTCAAAGAGATGTAGTATGTGGAATCAAAATTTGTACAGAAATTATACCAGTAGTATAATTAAACTATGTTATCTGACTTTTTGTTTTATGTACCATTCACATTTCAACAGTAAATTAGGCAAATGCAACGAGAGAGCCCTATATGTCCATCTACTGTGCTTATACAGTATATTTCATTAATCAAACTGGCTCAATCCATGAATGTGAAAGCATCTACATAAGTGAAAATTTGTCATGACAGACAACTGAACATCACCTGTACAGAAAATGTACCTTGTGAGTTCCACAAGTTACACATTTTTGGACAGCACCAACATAAAATATGACCTAACATAACTGACTGTCTTTGTCAAAGAGGATTTTTTTCATACTGTTTTAAGGCCAAAAAGACCAAAATCAAAGTTCAGTCAGCAGGGAGGTTTTTTGTATATGTAAATGTGTCAACAGAGGTGTTTTAGTTTTACCTTAATAATTATAATTAACTTAATTATGAGTGTATTGCATGCAATATTCCATACTTAAAAAGATATTCAGCACTTACCGTGGCTGCCACATTAATACTGTACTTATTGCCTGTCAGGTTGGTGACTATATTGCCCCACGGGTTGGTTATATGCAAGAGAGTGTCAGAGTTGTTAAGCATTGGCTTGATGGAGACTCCTCCATTCGCTGCTGTAGTTGCCGCCTCCAACACGAAGGCAGTAAAGTAGAAAAGCAAAGCTAAGAAATGGTACGTCACATCCTGGGGGGAAAACACAGAAAGCATTAGAAGAGTTTGAGGTCTCAAGTGTAAACCTGCTGACCAGCTGTTAAATTCCTCTACCCAAAACAAAGTGTGGAAAATGTTTTGGGAAGAAAGCATGAACAACATTTGAGTTTTATTCCACTGGGCAATTATCAGGTAATAACTGCACTGATTCCTGCAGTTATCTGTGCTTTCTGACATAGTGAAGCCTTTATATTACTTGTAAAGCATGACATGGTAGATAAAACCAACAAACAAACAAAAAAAAATCAAAAGACAGAGGAACAGATAAAAGCTACTGAGGGACAGAGACAGAGGGTGTGTCAGAGAGTAAAGAAGGTTAATGAGAGTCTGTGGTGTTGACTCTTCTGTGAGCCCTGCGGGACTACAGACAGGTCTTTGTTGTACTTTGGCGTGAGCTCATCTTCCATGCCATTCATTGTCCAGCTGAAAACAAACAACCCCACACGCCTGGCTACTCCTGGGAGCACGCCCTGGAGCCTGGGGCAGGGCTGGCTCTGTCTGAAGGGCCAACCTTGACACAGAGTCCTCTACAAGGGCGTAACACAAGAGCATGGCAAAGGCAAAGTTTAGTTTTTTTTTTCTTCTACTTATGACAAATGATTTAAAAATGCACTGCACAGCAGAACTACAAGGCTGTCATGTAATACTGTGTTCATGTTATCTGCTCACTGAATTTACAATTCCCGTTTAAAGCAAATTTCTGAGACAGAGCACCTGGTCTGTTTGTAGATTAGATTAATATTACATGTGATTTGTAGACTACAGCCAAAATGTGTTGCTGACATGGCAGCCCATGCCCTGGGTAGCATGTTGTGCCACATCTCAAAAAGAAAGCTAAGCTCAATATGATCAAAGTTAGGCTAGTGGAAGTATGCATTCATATTTCCCATTATAAATCCTGACCTCACTGACTTTGAATTATGCTGAACAAAAGCACCATTGTTGTATGGGCTTGTTGGACTATTCTGATAGACCATATTCAGGTTCTGTTCATGAACCACTACTACGGGGTCTAGATTGTCCTTCAGGCCACCTGATGTGTGCGTATTCAGGCAGTCACTTATGCCTGTCATAGTAACAACTTGACCGCAGTATACACTGGCACCTAGACTGGCACCATCAGTAAGAACATGGTCACAAAAGCTGCCAGCAGATATTGTGTCATTTTAAATCGAGGAAGTTTAACTGCTTATCACAGAAACAACTCACATAAAGCTTTGTATGCATGAGTCAATGAATCAACAAGCTGCCTCAGTGCACAGTGAAGAGACATACATTTATGTTTGATATTAGTGAGCACCTGTTTTAATTGTAGTTATTGGTATGATGGTTACCTTAGAGAGTAAAAATTCAAATACAGTGGGCCTGTCTCCAAGATTCTGTCAATAACCTTCTCTAAGATGCTCTACAATAGACACACACTATACAGATGTGATGTGAAATAAGTATTTCTTCGCAGATTTTACATGATATTGTGAATATAAAAATGACATAATACTTCAAACAGTATGTGCATTCTTTATATTTTCTTATTCAGTAAGTGTGTTCACACTTCAGTAAGTACCATATAGTTGTGAGTGTGAAATTACAAGTGCCATCGTGAAGATGCACTCTGCCTGCAATCACACTGACAAGAAATCTTTTTAAATCATTTTAAAGGAATAATGTATGATAGAAAAGTTCATGTTTTAGTTTTACCATCTTTAGGCAGTGAAGATCAAGAGATATTTGGGTGGCTGTAGCTCAGGATATAGAGCAGCGGTCCCCTAACTGGAAGGTCCACGGTTTGATTCCCGTTCTCCCATGGACAAACATATAAAGAGGAAGCTATCATCACTACATTCGACTACTGTATTACATTAATGCAGGTCAACTGAAATAGTGCAGCTGTAATAGGGCTGACCTGCAGTTTTGCCACTGAACCAGATCTCTGACTTTCATGCACCAAACAACAGCTGCTACTATGACAGCATTACCAAAGACTGACAACCATCTTAAATTTCAGTGATTGCATGTTCTGATAACCTGCTGCATTTGTTTGCTGTTTTAAATTGTTTTGTTTTTTCATTTGAGACTGCGACTTTTCAAGTCTCACACTGTTTTTCAAATACAGATTTCAAAGACCAAAATGCAGACTGAATATTACTCAACTTTCCCTCAAAAAATAGAGGGTGTACTTTACTTGGTATTTTCCAAATGAAGGAAGGACCTCAAGCTCAGTAGATAGACTGATAGATAGATGAACCTATTTATCTATAGCTCACCAAGAAGTTCCAATCAGTATTGATGCGGTCAGCCAGGCCGGTGATGAGGAGCGCGAGGTAGGCGGAAGAGAGGAAGAAGGTGGTAACGGAGACAAACATCACCCAGCCCTGCAGCAGAGGTACGGGCACATTGGAGGAAGCCACAAGGATCCATACTAAGCCACCAAATAACTGGGGATATCCACACACACACAAAAAAATCACATTGGTGACAGATGCAGTATAAATAACACTGTACAGTACTGTACTGTATATGCTGACATTCAGTCTCTTTATCCTCAAGACAGAACAGACAAGATGACTGCTTGAACCCCCTATGTTTCAGTGATTAGTTACTGGCTTGGCTACAGTTTATGACACACCATCAAGATTCCATGCTGGTACCGTGTAGCTTATTGTACTTGTCTCACTGGATACCGATTCATGTAACTCAGGTTAAGATGGATGCTGTTCCTAATCAGATAACAGTACACTCTGATTCCCAAATTTAAAATCTGTTTACCTCACTGCATGCAACTCATTGAGGCCATTTTTATGTTGCAGTAGTAACATGTGGCCATGGATACCTGACAGTGCTAAAACCAGCCTGCTCTGAATGAATGTAACAGAGCATTAACACTGAATTTCATTGTCAAAGAAACTGTATCTAATTTAGAACACACACATCTGACTGGGCCTTTACTAATTCTACACTATACTGTATTTGCCTTATTTTAAAATAGCACTTATTATACAGTCTTATACATCAATACCACCTCCTGCTAAAACCGACCGGTTTCTTAGTGTATATCTGTTTCTAAAGTTGGCAGCAGGATACAAATTTTATTCTGTGAGACCATATGGATAAAATACACTGCGTTTGGTTACAGAATACATATTGGAGTAGCAAATGTTATCTTCAACACAGTTTACTTTGGACAAGGGGTAAAACGTGAAGGTAACACAACTGATAAAAGTACTAAAGCATATGGTGTTATGAAACTTTAAAGCAAGTACCTATAGACTAGTTACCATAGTTAATGACAAGCACAACATGGCTTTAACATCAGGTAAAACCCAGCATTTAAACGATTCTGTTCACAGCTGAAGGCCTGTGTGGTGGCCTAAAAGCAAAAACATGCTAGTAGATTCCTCTGGTCAACCCTTAACCACTTAAGGTGAGGAACAAACTGCATTCTGGAGCATCTGTAGAAATGTGAAGAGCATTAGAGAGCTATATACTAACATTAGAACCGCTTTAACACCATGCGTACTAAATCTTACCTATTATTATGAAAACTAGCATTTTTTAAAATGTATTTTACAAACTAACTTTTCATAACACAAATGCCATGTTTCTACACAATGTTAATACAAGCCGGGACAATTTAGAGCCACATTCAGCATGAGTTCATATTAAAACTTGCTGTTCTTGAACCAGTTCAATTTAAGGAGAAATGAAAAGCAACCAAAAGATTGTTCTGTGTAGTCAAATAATCCTAACCTTAGAGCATGTAAAGTCATCATGCAAGTCACCTTGTGGCGCTTAAGGCCATGAAGAGAGACAAAATAAAGCTGACACGTGATCTAGAACTCATTAAAGTCTGGAGAGGAGATGATCATAACACATTTGGTAGTTTACAGGGCTACAATTCAGATTTGAGCTTTCAGACCTGGCAACATCACTTAAAGTGGCATTTGCCTCTGCTTTGGCTGTCAAACATAAGCAATAAACCCAGCCTAGGCCAATCACAATGACGATGCGTTGACACCGTGTGGCCCTGTGTAGTTCACTTATCAAACACTAAAGATCGCAGTGCAAGTCTAAAACTAAAGTCTAACTGGACTCGCCATTAATTATTAATAAAGACATGTTGGCTACGGGTTAAGCAAACTCCCACAACACCACCGAGGTCACTGATAAATATATGAATGAATAACCTTAAAAGAAAACGATACTCACGATTTCTAAACAGACAAGGGCTCCAGAGTAAGTCCTCAATACTTCCAGACCTAAAGGTAGAGAAATAGTTGGCACTGGGAAGGAGGTGGCGGCGGGATTAGTGGCTGGTTCCGACATCTCTCTTCTCTCTGTCTGCCCCCTTCTCCTCTGCCTCTCACCCTCTCTCTCCCACTAAAATGTCTCTGTGAAACAAAGAACGTGAACAGCGGGGGAAATTCCTCTGGAATCATGTGTCCCCCAAACAGGTCGGACAGGTGCGTGGGCCACTCCCTGGAAACTGATGCTACATTCACAGACCTCACGGAAACTCCAAACCCCGGTGTCCACGTTGTAAACCCCGTACAGCCTCACTGGAACCAAATAAGACACAGTAGCTGACATGGTTTGAATTGGTTGGTAATTTTTATTTGGAATGTAAAATGGTGATTACAGATGCAGTTACATTCACCCCACAATTTTAAATAGGCCTACAAAGACATATCAAGAAATCATACGGTATAGTCTTTAAGCAGCTATAGAAATCAAGGTTATATGTAGAGCTCCAACTGTTGGCAAGATGAAGACCATAAAATGTGGATGACTAATATAGCTATTAATTCATTCATAGGTAGAAGTTGCTGAGTACAACTGAAAAGGAGATTTGAATTATACAGTATCCATTATCAGTAATGATAACTGAATGCATTTCACCTTGTACTGATATAAAAAAAAAAAGTCAGTTAATGGTTATGACATGCTAATAAATTTGGTTTTATGGTTCTGAGCTGTGTGTATCAGTCATTGCTAAGGTACTATAGCAAATCATAGGGTGTGTTTGCAATGTGCTAAGAGCACAGCACACTTCTTCACTCCTGTTTTTGCATGGTTTTTATGCTCTCTACACCAAAAATGTCAATTCTAGGTAACTCTGCAGTCATTCACAATCATCTTGTACTTTTGGTAACTCCAACAGTAAATGAAGCAGAAATCTTACTTGACTCCCACTGTGTGACCAGCAGACACCACAGCTCAGTACTGAGAAAATCAGATAGTTTGAGTCATAACCAAAGCTACTGACTCCTGTTAAAAAAGAAATGATTGTTTAAAAAAATCATGTATTTAGTGGTTAACCTTCACCATGCAGGAACAAAGACTCTTAAAAGTAAATATTGGTTAAGGGCTGGACTAACAGCTGATAGTTGATTTCCAAACCAATTCAACCACATTTACTGTACTATTCGCACTAAAACATGAAACTGCAACATCAAGTGTTAGAGAGTAAGTGTTGAAGACAGTTTTTTAAACACATGGTGAAATAAAATTGCTATTTTGTCATATCCATTTGTAAGAGCAGTTTCTTAGAATAAGCCACAGTTAATGTTTAGCCAGGATTTGGGTTAGGTGAACAAATGTTGACATAACGTCTGTGAGAACACTGGGCATACTTCAATTGACTGTGGCTAGCAGTTATAACTAATGCAACCTGTATAAAACTCTATATCCCATTGGGGGTTGAATTGCCATTCTTCACATTTCAAAGTGTTCTTGGGGGGAGACATTGAACCCCTAGATGCCTCTGATGGCCAGGTCAGCACAGTGCAGGAATAACACCACCATTTGTGTGTGTTTGTGTGTGTGTGAATAAGCAGTGCAGATAGCTGTCTTGGTTCTGTACCAGAATTCCTGGTGTGTGTAACATACTTGGCCATTAAAAGTAATTATTACTATCATTTTGATGGTTCTGTACCAGAATTCCTGGTGTGTGTAACATACTTGGCCATTAAAAGTAATTATTACTATCATTTTGATGCTTTATTCAACAAATCTGTCCTTTGCTGCTGCATAAATAAGAAGTATTCAGTGCGACTGTTTGAGTTTGAAACCACTGAAAATAGAAAATTTGTCAATGTATAATTCTTTTGTCCATCCCTTTTCTGGTTATTTAAGAATCAGTAGAAGAAAACATTCAGGAGCTACAAAACTGTACATTCATACTTTTTGCTTTGAATCAATAATTATTGATAAAAGCATGAACAAAATATTAATATGCAGTATTGTAAACATGTAAGTAAAGTCATTTATTTAATTAGCCCCAATCAGTGGAGGCAGAAGGCTGCCCTGCGACAGACCCTGCCCGAGGTTTCTTCCATTAAAGGGAGTTTTTCCTCCCTGCTGCCACCAAGTGCTGCTCAAGGGAAATTTGTTGAGTTTTCCTCTATAATAATAATAATAGTAAAGTCTTTGTAAAGTGTCCTGAGAAGACTTTTGTTACAGTATGATTTGGTGCTATACAAATAAAACTGAATTGAAATTGAATTGAATGTCACTTTAGCATTTATTTTAATGCTTTTGATTTTGTAAAAAAAACAATACATTAGGAAGTAACAGCAGGTTATATGTGAAGTATATAAAAGTATAAATGTATATACAAATGTATGTACTTTTACATGCAAGTTTCATTGACTCATAATGGTGCAGGAGAAGATGTTCCTCTGTCTCCTCCTCCTCCTCTTCTTCTCTTGCTCTTTGGAAACTCACAGATGAAGAACATGGTGGCGTTACACTCCACATGACCCCATGTTCCAGTGCTGAGCAGCTCCACACAACTGGAGTTTGTGGTGGGAGATAATGTGGAATCTAGCTCGTCCTCTTGACTCCAGGCTGCAAATCCCTGCAGGGGGCTGGAGTCCACATAAACATAACCACTTGTTCCATTCTGATGACAAGAACACGGGAGAAAAATAATTATGATTTGGTCCTAGATACTCGTCTATTGTGAAATCAGTGTCAAAAAAGAGTTTTTTTCCCCACTAGTTTAACTCTGTATTGGCATCCTGTGTAGTATGATCCTAAATCCCTGATCATAAGAAGAAATAAAATCTGCTAAAAACCTTGATTCATCTTGTATAATGGTAGGTTAATACTGTATTTTGTTATGGGTTTTTTCACTTGTTGCTATGCACGCTCATGAAGCTTCACCTCATCTACATGTCCAGTGACCTAAATTTTCATCATCTTCCTAGGTCACATATGCGATGACCCATGTGGATGTCCACATACAGGCCATGATGGTTTTTTTCTTTCTTTTTCTTCTTCCTCTGCCATATAGTTTATGTCCTGTGTTCTGTTGCTCTTTATATAGCTCTAATTTGTTCTCCTTGTTTTTTGTGTTCATTCTTCATTCATGCTTTCCCTAGTATTTCCACTGAGTGTTGTTCTGTTTATATTGTTCCTCTAGTTGTGCTGTACATATAACTTAACATAATAAAAATGTTTTTAAAAAATGTGTCCATGCAGACAACAAAAAGTCTCAACTATGCATCGTAATGCTTGGAAAACAGCTTGTAGACAGGGACATTTGAAGAATGAGTAGGAACGCATGCACATTTCTCATCTGTATCCACATGAGGGTGTGCAAAGCTGATATGTTTCTACTTTAAGACCAAAATCAGACACTCCACCTGCTGCAGTGTGTGCATTATGTTGTGCTTAAGACCACTTACTGTGTCTTGGTTTTGAGCCTGCACTCCTATATAGATTCTTGTCAGTCCTGCCTGACTGACATAGTCTGCCATGAGGCGGTTGGCGTTTCTGCTTTTTGGCATGGCCAGGGTGCCTCCTTTTAGTTTGCAGTTCATTGAAGCCTCTCTGAACCTCTTGGGCTCCTTCACTAGCAGGTAATAGCCATCTTCTGTTTCCTTCAGCCCCAAGATGACTGCACAAAACAGGGTTAAGAGTTAAAGGTTATTTGGAGTTATGTAAGTTCAGTGTTTGCTGTGGTAATTAGCTGTGTTTTTCTTTACAAAGAACAACAAATTAGAAGTCAGTGGACCGCAGTGTAGTATTAATTTTTGTCTTTAGTATGTCAAACTGAGAGCTGTTATACTAGTATAAACCTGTCCGCCACGTGATTTATGGGGCTTTATAAAACAAAATGAGCGCTACCTTCAGTGTGGCAACTTCACTATTCTTAGCACATATGAAATAACCAGAAAAGAGCAAGAAATGGAAATAGAATGTATGAATTTAGCACCCGCCCAGAAACCTAAATATTGGAAGTAATTCTTACAAATGAACAAAAGGCAAATCAGTTTTCCAACATAAGAGATGTTATAGACTCACCATTTTTCACAAACTTGACAGCGTTCTTCAGCTTGCCTGTACTGACATCCAACTGTCCAACCACCTTCCTGTACCTGCCACAGTCACATGTAGTGCCTATGAGGGTAAGCACAGGATTTCAGTGCACACAGGATTTAACCACACAGAATCTCCTTCCTGCACTGCATCACTGTGTTCTCTTCTTTTCTGGCTTAGTTGTATGTGGGTGACTTTTACTGTACATCTGCCATCAGACTTTGTAGCTCCTCTCATACTGTATATAGTTCCCCAATTTTAAGTGGCAGAAAGTATTCAAACAAGTACACGTAAAGTCATCACAGTTTAAATATTGGTTGTAGGTTTTATGCTGTTAATGATGGGTTTGGTCACAGGTATCAGCCAACACTACTGCAGCCATCATCTTTTTATGCTTGTATTTAACACTGCTCTACTGTACTGAAGCAGTACAGAAAGAGTCTAGAGTAACTTTATAGGTCTCAAAAGAATATAGTTTTATATAAGCATTTTCTGTCCAGCTCTTTTACTTGTTAAATGTAAATTTGCTGTAACAACATGATGTCAGTCTGTTAGGAACAGAATAGGGCTATATTGAAAACAAGCAATGCACTGTGAACTTACTCACCTGGTTTGCCTTTAAAACCAGAAGGACCATCCAAACCTGTATCGCCTTTGTTGCCTCCAGAGGAGAAATATCACAGAAAGTTGTTAGAATAAAAACATCTGTGATCCTGTGATTCGGTTTTCTTATTTTAAATTGCTTACAATATAAATTAATAACAGTGTGATTCCTGACCACCAATAGTTCAACTTCTTGACAGTTTCTTCTCCTACTAATGATGTTGTGCTGTATTTACAAAAGATGACCACTAGGTGGCTGTATCACACATAAAACGTTTTTTAGCATGACAGCACACACACAGGTTTAAATTTACTCAGGTCAAGGTTTACGGTGTTTTTACGGTGTTATAACCTGAACCTGCACTTTGTTCCAAATAGATTTCAAAATGGCCACACACGTCTGACATATAGAAATGTGGGTAAATTGTAACATTTGTGTGTAAATGTAAACCAGCTCTTTCTCAACATATATGGACTTATTCTTAAGCTTTATTGTGGAAATTAACCTGAGTGGCAGTTGCAGATTTTGGGGAAGTGGACTACAGTACAAACATCACAATAGGCTTGTGTTCTATGAGGAAGAGCCACAACAGTGATACACAATACTTGTACAATTTCACCAGCTGAGTTATTTTTGTGATTTGTTACACCGAAAAAAAAGTGAAAACATTAATAAATATGTGAAAAGTAAACATTTCTGACAACATTTTGACCTATTGCCAGGATACCGATATTACAGCATATATGACGCTATCAGGGAGCATACAGTGTAATACCTCAAACAATATTACCTTCTTCTGTATCATCATCATCTTCTTCTATGTATCTTAAATGCTAACTGATTTTCTAATGTAGACATTACTTTGTTTGTAATTCTGCTGCAGCCAACATTGCCCAACAAACAAGCCTTTTTCCAGGTGTTTTATGAGCTGCAGGCACTCAGGATCAAGGAAAATCCAAACCTGTGACCTCACTTCTTTGCCTCAAATGGCCACAGCCACTTTCCTGTAAGCGTATTAACCATAATGAATACTGAGAAAAGTGAGCACTTAAAGTAAAGAATGAAATTATCCTCCCTGGGCAAGGCGACTGGCTGACATCATATCGTATGATTATGTTTTCCTCTATCTTTGGATGTGATAACAGGAACAGGAAAGTACAGACTTTTTAAACAAAACACAACTGGCTTGAACCAGCCCTCCTTGTGTGTATTAGTCTTGGGACTCATTAAGTTGACTGATTTGTGCAGAAATGTCTATTTTGCTAATTTTAATGTTTTTAAGAATGCTTATTCGTCAGTAGTCCAAACTGAGGAGACATTCAGGGAATGCTTCTTTTAGGCAGTAATAAAATCGTTAAGGTCCACAGTGAACACAGTTACATTTTTTGCCATATTTGTAGCTTGATGTTAACAACACTGGGCTCTTTTCTGCATAGTGAAAACTGTTCCTGGAACAGAGACACATCTATACACATGATAGTTATAAAGACCACCAGACTTTCTCACTTTTGGAAAATAAACGAGAACCTTTCCTCTTGCTGCACTCTCTTGCTTGGTTACTGTATATGTTATTGTGTGCAATGTATTTTTATTAGGAAAATTAATGAAAATCAATATGGCCTTGTTTTTACATTACAGTATAGGGTTATGTGGATAAGGCAAATATATTAGAGAGACAGAAGGTCAAAGACGGAAAGACAGACAGTGTTAAAACCATAGAACCATGAACGTAAGATTAAAAAGACTTTTTTGTTATACCTTTGTCTCCATTAGGTCCCCTCTTCCCCGTGTTGCCCACTTCTCCTTTAAGCCCTGCCTCTCCTGACACTCCTGAGGAAAAAAAAAGAGAGGAGGAAGAATGAATGGAGAAGACTGGAGGTATTTGGGACATGACAGCCATCACAAGAAAACAAATGGACTTCTTTTTATCCAACAGTGTATACAGTATACCTGGAAAAATTATGTAAAGAGCCATAACATCATAAAGATCCCTTATTTTTTTGGAATAAGAAAGTCTGCTGTATATTTTCAGTTACTCTGATATCTGTACAGAGGGTGTAATCAACAATGTTATGGTAGACTGAAAAAGCTTTGAGGAGTTTTTATAAGCATCTGTATCGATCATTTAGATTTAATGGATTCAATTCAATTCAATTTATTTATATAATGCCAACAACATCAATTGTCTCAGAGCACTTTACATAGTCGAGTCTAGACCTTACACTATTATAAGGAAAACCCAACAAATTCCCCTTGAGCAAGCACTTGGTGACAGGGGGGAGGAAAAACTCCCTTTAACGGAAGAAATCTCCAACAGACCCCGGCTCTTGGTGGGCGGCCTTCTGCCTCAAACGGTTGGGGTTAGTGGATAGAGGGAGAAAAGCAACGAGACACAACAGGTTGTTATGATGGCATGAAACATCAGAAGACATAATGTAGCATGCTAAGTACCTTTCTACTCTCCATCACTGTCCTACTAGGATTACAATACCATACCATACAATACTATATGTAGTATCCACAATATACATATACACAGTACACATACATCTACAGCATATACACATATACAGTACATACAGTAGATATACACACATATAATATATATAATTAAGTATTATATATACATATATGTGTGTATAGTATACACACACACCATTTACATACATAACACATTACAGTATTCTAATACTGTTCCATGTAGTCAGTCAATAATACACAAGTAAATGTGCTGACGAATGGGATGACAGTCCATTTCTGATTACTGTGATTTGTCTGGCTGCTTTACTATGAAGTTACAGTGACTTAGACAAACCCCATATTCTTGGATATTACCGCGAACGTGTATGATGGTGATTATATACTGTATCAGAGTGAGTGAGAGAGGTACTGTGTGCATTTCAGTGTTGTGCGTGTGTGTATGGCCAAGAGAGTAAAGGCCAGTTTGAGTTTTATACCATGGAAGCGAGGACATTTTTTCCAGTCCTCCACTTTCCGACACACCTTCAGAAGGCTTTTTGAGAGCTAAGATTTGTTTATATGGTTTAGGTTAAAGCAAGGGTAAGGACTGGGGTTAGGCCTTTACAGAAGTGTGTGGGAAAACTACAGAGCAGACTGAGGCGCTCTGCCAACACTTGAATGAGTATTTCCTCAGGAAACTATTCAACTGAAAATTGATGGCATTTGAAATACTAAGTGACGCACTGAGGAGGCCTATTCCTCTTAGAGGGATTTGCCATGTACACACACAGCCAGCAATTCACTATTATTTCCCATTTTCTTCTTTCTCATGTTGATTTTCTACTTGATTCTACTTGCTTAGTGAGGAAGTTGTGAAGTTTTGTGGATTGTGTGAGGTCCGTACTCTGTAAAGCTCTGGTCTTTAGGAAACTCCTCCATTTCACTCTAATCTGTATGCAATTTCTGCACAATTTTATATGAATACCTGAGAAGCGCAGTCACAAAGTAAATATTTTGTCAACACTGACCTGAGAACTGATTTAGAACAGTGATTGTAGGTGTTTGTTTTTTGCCATATCAAGAAATGTAATCTGTTGGTCTCTTGTTTCTCCTTCTGTCTATAAAAGTTGATTGATGTTGTTTTCTCAGTGCTTATGCTTGCCAGTTAAACCGTCTACATAAACGTCCACATAACAGTCCTTGCTATCACTGCAGTTGCTCTTTATAATGACCAACCCCTCCAACTGGTTTAACGTCTGGATTCTCCAGCTGCTGGAGAATAAAAGATATGAAAGCCTTTTTTTCTAACTACGGAGTTGTTGTAAACAAGCTTAAGCAATTTTGAAAATGTTCACACTGGTCTCACCAGATTACACTTTTCAAAGGCTATAACAAAAATACAGGAGATTAAAACATTAAGCAGCCTGACTGTCTGCTCAGTCATAATGACCAAATATAAATACCAGTATTTCTGCTTTTTAGTTTTTTGTGAAGTTTGGAAAAAGAGACCTGTCACATGAATTAGAGTCCTTGAGCCACATTTTCCATTTGTTGTACATAGGCTTCATTAGTATCTAAATTAATACAGGGAATACATGTGTCATCTGTTCAGCTGCTGACGTACATTACAAAGTTTTCATAGGAACCTGCAATCAAACATGCACACAAAAACCTGCAGCAGTTATAGACACTTATATGAATATCTGCTGAACAGCTGAAAACGGTTCACATACTTTCTGAAATGATTTTCAAACAAATACTGGCATTTTATTTGTCTCCCATCTCACACAGGCTGATGAGAGAACTGTCTATTGTTATAAAGGGTGTGCACATACTCCATGTGTGTGAGGTCCTCTGTGTGAAGTTATTAAATTAAACAAACATCTGCAGAGAACAAGAGGGCAGCCAGAACCTGTGTGTGTGTGTGTGTGTGTGTGTGTGTGTGTTCTGTTATTGTACTGTATTATATGTTTCTGAGTTTAGTGAGTGTACATGTAGATCTGGAATCTGGATCTGCTGGAAAACATGTTAAGGACGAAACCAAATGTGAGGATTTTTGTGTTACATTTACATTTATTCAAAATGAAGAGTATTTTTAACTGGGAAGTGATTTGTAAGTGCTATTTTTGTATAGTGTGTAGTAGTAAGCTTAAAAACACACAACTTGTTATGGATTTTTAAAGTTCATTTAAAAGATTTTAGAATGGCCAATGAGACTATTTCATCAAATTCCAACCAAAGGAACTTTTTTTCAAAGATTTTCTGGGGTAAAACTGGATCACAGAATTCTATCATGTTCAGATAGTGTTATTCTTAAACTATGCTTAAAAGGATGTGAATTCTCTCACTGCATCAGCAGGTAACTCCCCATTTTAAGAATAAAAGAGCATTCAGGGAGAAAAGACCATTTGTTAGGCTTAGAGTGCTCCAAAATAAAATTAGTTATTTGGAAAAACAGTAGGGTTTTGAAGGAGCATTAGGCTTCAGTTGCCTCAGTGTGTACAAATGACAAAGTCGCCAATATGTGGTCAATGCCATTAATTGTGGGCCGCATACTTTTGGTTTCATGTTTTTTTCCCCTTATTTGAGCAATATTCAAGTTGTCTGATTCTACCTTGACTCAAGGTTATCCAACTCGTGTGGGTGCCATTAAAAGAGTCACTGTGAGTATGCTATTACTGCACAATCTTCAACTGCAATCTGCTAACAAACCACACTGGATTTTATTTGGATTATAATGACAAGAACTTCACAGATCAAAGTCTCTTTATAAACTTGTAGCCTGAAGACAACATGTTTGCATCAATTTGGGAGTGCTGAATTAAGCTTCTGGGGGTAACAAATGTCACTAACCCACTCCTCATTTCTGCTTGAGGCCAATGGCTCCAGCAGGCTACATTAGCCACAACTAGCATTATCCAGCCTTATTTCCCACCAAACTGTTGGTGGTTGAATTGCATTACAGGTAATGTGGGCACCAGCTTTGAATGAGGAACAAGAATACATGGAAATACTGTCCCTGGGTTTGTCTCACTGGTTTCATTCCTTCTTTTTACTGTCCATTGTGAGTCCTATAATGTTACAAGACTGCAGTGCTGTATGCTATAGTAATAAATAGATGGACGTTAGATACCTGGAAATCCTGGTGGTCCATTCTTCCCCAGTTTCCCTTGATCTCCCTCATCTCCAGCCTCACCTAGATCTCCTGAATTAAGAAGGAAAGACTGTAATATGCAAACAGAAAGCATGTTTCCCATTATGTTTTGTGCACAGTTAAATTTAGAAAGGACCTGTCAGAGACATGCTAGTAACTGAGTGTACGCAGCAGTGTGTAGAGCTGGCTTACTTTTCCAGTATGGCAGTGTTTCTGTATATTCCCATGGAATATCAAAGCCGTCACAGGATAATGATACATTATCAAAACTGTCAGTTGGCTAAGACCTACACAGCACAGTACTTTGGTCAGTGAGTGTTTGCGTAGGAGTTCCAGTGCAGGCCCAGTTGTGGGTTTGGGTGCAAGTCCTACTGTGAGGCTAAGACTGAATCAAAAGTGGATGCTTATAAACATAGGTTTCTTCATATTCCTTTTCAATATATGCTCAATCAAGACAGTGTCATTTTCAAAAGCACCAGCTCCATAAACATATTAATGACTCATACTTTGCAGAGTTGAAAGCACAAATGAGGTGTGGAAGAAATATCTCTGGTGGGTCTAAAGACCTCAAACAATCAAGCAGCTTTAATGTTTAATGAGTGTCTGTTAGAGTTGTAATTTTGCCCCTGTTGTTGATGCCAACAGCAATTTATGTCTTGTTAAGCGTTGGCCTTTGAAATGAAGGACTAACAAACTCCCTCTAGCCTGGAGAAGTACTTAGGAAAAATGATTATTAAATTCTGCAGACTGTGTAGACATTTCAAGTAACCTAAATCATTGCATTTTTATGTGACTCTGCAAAATGTTTTCCTTTTGTGGTCTACTAAAGTGACACTATGTGCAGTATATTTGCTAATATGCTTCACTTGTGTGGTTACGGTGTCACAGCACACAGAGATTTCCCAAGTTAAGTATATTCTTGCAGTGCAGTATGATCAGTCTGCCATAACTGAGTAAAACCGACTCTGTACTGCAGACAAATACAAGACAAATCCCTCACACTGCTCATCACTTGTGTTCACTTCACAAATTTCTGTCTGCAGTATTTGATCCTACCCACCTGCAAAGAAGACTGTATGGTCTGCAAGAATTTGATTTGAAGGAGAAGCTCATCTAAAATTTAAACACATTGTACCAAAGTGTTCTGACCCACAGTGTCCTACATTTGTACTTCTCAATGAAAAAAACTAAAAAAATTTTTTAAAACAAATCTATTTTAAAATGTTGAAGTCAATGTACCAGTAAATGCAATAAAAGAATGTTTATTTAAATAGGTTGTGTGGACATTTTTGGAGTATGAAACAGAAAACAGCACATCTGACACCCACTCAGATATGTGGCCATGCACACACTCAGAGACCGACTTTGGTCAGTAGTGTCTATGATGAGTCTTGTACAAATAATCACTTCAGTTCAGTGGCTGCTGTCTAAATACACAAGGTCACAACAAGGCATTGTTTCTTATTAGTACAAAAAACTCACTGGAAAGTTAACAAAATGTCCAAGTGGTTCATACTGTACACACACTTCCTAGGGAGTGTATGTGATGTTAGTGCTGACTTGTCTAACTTTCTACCCACACCACCACCGACTTTACAGTTCAGTTTTACTATTGTAAAATATCTGCCCTAAGAGAGCCAAACTGATATGCACCTTCTATAAATTTCCTGTTAAAGGCTGGTTTTCATCACATTGACCTTTGGTTTTTCTTGTTTACCCGACAGACCTCCCATCTCAGTTTCTGCATGTAAGTTTCTGAAGTAACAGCTCCCTAATGTTCTTTTAATCCAGACCTGAAAGCCATGTTTTCAGTAGCGCGAATGGAGCTGAAAAACTGAGCTTCACTTAACTGTATTTTATTAGGTCTGCCTGTCTGAATCAGCAGGAGAACAAGCTACTGGATGTCATAAAGTGAAAACACACACGGTGGGAGTGTTCCTTCCAAAAGACCTTGGGGTAGAAGACTGCTAAGTAAGAAACTAATACCCATTACATGCTGCTACTGCTGTAATCAGCTCTCTAAACCCTGAAGCATTAGAGGTGCTTCCTTACAGTTTTCCTCTCAGACCTTTTTTGTTTGACATATACTGTAAATTGTAAGGACTTTTTTTTCACTTTTACACAGTGAGTTCATAAACTTAGCATGCATGCTCTCCAACAGTATAAACAAAAAATAGCAAAGATTGCAAGAACCTGAGAATCCATGTTACCTTTAGCTCCAGGCAGGAAGGAACTGGTGCAGACGTCTGGAGATGCAGCAATGCAGCTGAACGCAGCCATGAACACACAGAGCACCAACAGTTCTTTGCTGCACCTTCTTGCCATCATCTCCCATTCATCACTGGCCAGTGTCTAAGATCCCAGACTTTAGGTTTGCTGTAGCAGGTAGTTGCTAGCACCAACACATTGGCTGTGCAATGTTCCTCGTGTGCTAGTATGCCACTACTGATTGTTTGAACTGTAGGACCAGAGGATCATTGCTCCACTAATGAGCAAACATACAACACTGCACTGCTGTTTATAGAACACACACACTTGTTTATAGAGTCTTATCAGTTACTTGTCATAATGTCAAACAACACTTAACAGAGTATTGCATTCCTCTGAGTGGCTTGTCCCTTGGAATTTGACACGAGGTTTATTTAGAAATGCACTTTATAAAATATTGCTGTAACTTTGCTTGTAGAGAACCCGTCTGAAGTTTTAGTTGTGTAGAGTAAACATGGTGGAAGCATTTGCTTTCAGTTTGCCAACTTGATTGTTTGTTTAGATGGTACATTGCCACAGAACTGTAGCTGTTATTTGAAATATATATTTTTAGACAGGACATGTAGACATGACACCATTAATCCTTTACTTTACTTGATATAATTCATCAATATAACAAAACCTCTAACCATGCTTCTAATTTATAGAAAGTTAATTTGGTTAACAATCCTTTTTTGCATCACAGGCCTTCTCTCTTTTTGGAAACTCGGTGTAGAATGAAAGCTGTTAATACAATGGAAATCATTAACCTCTAGAGTCCCTGCGTCCTCATATGAGGACCGCACAGCTTGGGTTTCCAAAGCTCAGGACTCTAGAGGTTAAAGTGAGAAAAGGTAGATGGCATCAGTTGAAATAAATAGTTTGTTAAAGTACAATTTGCACAATTTAAGATATTACACTACATATAGTCTGGATAACAATGAAGTAGCCGATACCGAAATGTCAGATGAATCAACAGGAAAATGATCTAAATATTTAGGTTAATAACTGGGGCTTGATCAGCAACAAGGGAGTAGCACCTCTGGGCCTGCAAATGTTTTCCTCTCTTCTCCTGCTTCTCTTGTTGTTTACTCTTCCTCCCATATCACTAATCATTTGGATGAAGAGGTTTATGCACACACACAAACATAAATGCACATTGTTTGTGCACATGTACATGCACAAACCAAAGACATGCGAAGCCCACAAAAGGCACATGACACAAAAAGTGGGTATATACAAGAACAACAGTGCAGCATGCACAGATTATTATATAGTTGCATTTTATGCTTTGTCACTGAGGATTCGAGGGTTTGGAGGTCTTGAGGGGACCGAGAGAAAAGAGGTTGGGTTTTAGAAAAGTGGAAAAGAAGCAAACATATAATGAAAGAATGCGAACTAGAGAAGAAGACAAAAAGCTACGAGACAGAGCAAGGACCAAAGAGGAAAGGACAAGAGTGTGGTCAGAGCCACGTGTTTCGGCACAAAGAGGGATTTTCTTATTCAAATGTTCTACTTTCTGGAACGTCTTAAGCTGTCCATCAGTAGAACGAGTCATCAGGGGCATTAGTGCACCCAGTTCTTTGAGGTACAGGGAGGAGCCATTAAGCGGGGAGACCATTAGTTGAAAAAAAAAAGATTCATCTTAATCACACATAAATTTGTGTTCCGTGAGGGATTCAGTTGGCTATTCATCACCTTGAAAGGCAGCCACTTTGAGTAGATGCTTCGTTACTTTTATTGTAGTTGGCCTGTTGTAATGATATTTATATTTACTGACAGAAATCTGTCAAATACACCCAGTATTGGCTAAGAAATTACAGCACATGTTTCTGCTTATCTCAACTGGTGCAACCTAGGGTTGCAATTGTATGAGATTTTCACGGTATGATAACCAGTCTCAGACAATATCACTGTTTCATGGTATTACAGTATATGGAAGTACACAATTATTATCAGCTGTTATTATCAGCTGCAACGACCCTTAGAGGAATGAAAACAAAGGGGTCTTTTTACTGTAAGTGACTGTGACAGTTGATTGAGCTGGATTGCAGCACTAGATTGACCCTAAAAATAAACACAATTCTAAACATGGTAAAACAAATAAATAAAAATGAAAATAGCATATAAGTATAACATATTATATAAATAAAGCATGTTAGCATCAAAGCTCTCTAAACAAGTACTAAATTACTGGCATATATATGAAGCCAATTTTTCTGACAATTTGTTAGGGAACAATCATACATTCAGCAAGTGGGGTGCAATACTGGCATTGTTTGAAGCTGCCTGTGTCCATCTGATGAGTGTAAGTCCAATTTTCACTCTCCTTCCCAATTTATTTAGGTCTCCACTAATTCAAAATAGCCTTTTTACTGAAAACAGCTGCCTGCTGTGGCTGAAAACACCAAACACATCCAAACCCACGAAGTTGATTGGAAAACCAAAACAGTAAGACGAAAGGTGCTGATATGCTTTGTAGAGCTTTACGGAGTTATTCATTGTGGGTTTGCCACTGTGAGTGATATCTCTAATATACTAATAATAAACAGGGCATTTGAAAGCACACTTTTTTCACATTTTATGTTTCTGTTATGATAAAATAATTTTAATTACCTTTCTCCTCATCAAAGTACACTATATACCCCATAATGACATTTTGGTATACCTTAATCCAAACTACTGAAATATCACATAGTATTATAATATCATATATATTATTAAATAACCAAATAAAAGTGTTGATAGCTGTTTTCAGGGCATGGAAGTTAAACACTTTACTTTCTTTTTAAAGACCAAGGTCAGATTAGGATTAAGATAGATCATATTAGAGACAAAACAATGGTTAATGGCACTGTGATACGATAAAGAGCTCACATGTAACGTAGCTGACAGTGTGTGTGTGTAAGCACACAGAGTAGGAAGGTTACATTTCTCCATACCTAGACTGAAACATACAGTAGCTACAGAAAGTGAAGGAATGGTACACACACTAACACAGCACACATACTGTATATACAGTACACACACACACACACACACACACACACACACACACACTATGCATAGCAACAGCCCTGTGACCCTGGAGGCTAATTGTTTTCATGTGGTTTAGATTGCGTTCTCTAATTAAGAACGTGATTCACGCTGCTGGATTGAGGGTTGACTCTGCAATGTAACCACACCACAAATCAACCCTATTTTCTCTGCTACTTTAAAACCCATTTACTACACTGGAGGCACCATTTGTATTTTAAAACTGCAGAAGTAGCATGGACTGCCCTCGTGACAAATCCATCAACAGCAACTTCAGCCTATAAAATATTTATCTAACCTCTGCTCTTAACCACATTAATATACTGTAGAGCATAAGTATAATAAATGGCTGAGTAACTACTGTGGAAGTGGCTTCGCAGCCTGTGTTTACTGTTACTAACTGGGGATTTGGGCTGCACGACACGCAACAACACTGGAGGCAACCAAAGTCATACACTGTGATGTGTCTCTTTGTTTTCATTATTTCACCTTTCTGTTGAAATGAGTCAGAGATTTTCTAAATCCCTGAGTGATTATCGCCAGGAATCACTTAAAGTCAAGTTCCACTCTGCTTCAGCACTTAATCTGCTGAGTTTCCAACCAGTAAACCAGGAGCGTGCGTGGTCTTGGTTACCAGCAGTGCTGTCCTGAAAAACCAAAAATAAGAAGTTTAACTTTGAAAATGTGCCATTTTCATTTGTAAAAAATGGCAAGTAATATTAGAATAGTACTGAAAAATGAATTGTGGGTTACTACAGCTAGTCATAATCAGTGTCTTTTCCAAAGGGATCTTATTGACTCAACATGATGCTAATTTCTTTCCTAACAAGTGGAAGACCTGGCAAAAAACTGTTGCTTATTCTGCCTTATCATGTTTCATACTGTAGCAGTCTGACGTTCTTCCAGACACTTATTAGGAACTAGTTTGGTTTGGATGGTTAGACGAAATAAGGAAAGGAAGCTTATGTTAGACTTTGAAAATGGTATTTGCAAAACAGTGGTACTTATAAGGGTAGACTGTGGTTGCAAAGTGGTGGCTGATGTAAGAAGTATTTTTCTCTGAAGCAGATAGTGTAACATATTGTAAGGCATAATTTGAAACACCTTCGCTTCCAAACATCTGAATAAGTCACCTTCAAAGCAGATACAGTAAATAAAATCTAGTGTACTGATCAAATTAGACACACAGTAGACATCTTCGAGGATACGCGTTGTATTTGCACCCCCATATCTCAGCCTTGGGCCAGCCTGACATGCTGACCTCCTTCACTAACCCATAGTGGAAAGACCCTCTCAATGTGGTTGACAACACATTCATTTCCCAGCTTCCATCATAAACTAAAAACTCATTTCTTCGTCTTTTCCCATGAAACAGTCCTCCCACAGGATGAGTTTCCCTTTTTACTCATTGTGATTGTCTAAAACAAAAAAAAACAAATACAAGAAACCCTTCTCCTTCACGAAGGGTTCTAAAATAAGCAAACTCACAGAGTATTTGTTGTTACCAACACTATAGCGTAATAAAATCCGGGCCCGGTGTGAACCGCATCTCTGGGCACATTTGTTCAAGCCAAATCTTGAATCCTCATCTATAGTCGGGCACTTTGCAACCCATAATACTACAGGCGACCACTTATAAATATACAACTGCCTTTTTCTGTGGGCTTACTAGAACAGACTAGAATAGAAGACAAAAGTCATGCGACATAATTCTACAATGTTAAAAATGCTCCTCAGGGGAATAGAAAGGATGTATTGCATACTTACAGTTGCACTATGTGGCAGAATATTAACCTTTTTTTTCTGTTATCTGATCCACTGTTCTTAAGTTTGTGCCTCAGGTGGTGGAGAGAATGGCAGGTTGTGTGCAAGATCCAGCCAAGTGTTGTGAACTTTTTACAGCAGTCTGTAATGCCTGTGGTAGCTGTGAGAAGAGAAATGCAAATTGAATTGAGTTGAATGTGTTGACAATGCTGATCTGGAGGTGGAGCGCTCAGACCAGGGAGGAATAGTACTACCCACATGAAGCCAGGATATATATA